GGTATTATTTGAAGCAATTTAGGCTCGCAAGAAGTTGAGAAATCTTAACATTTGAATCCACACCAAGTTAAGTTTTTTTCTCTTTGAGTGTAAAAAAAATAGGAGCCGCTTTTCGCTTAAGTGCAAATCTTTTTTTTTTTTTTTGGGAATCTATAGTAAGCTGGAACTCTATTCCATCGACTGCTTCACGGAAAACCACTTTTCATAAACTGAAAGCAAATGAACAAATAAGCACTTCGTAGTCAAAACTTTACATGCCAAGCCTAGATATCACTTTTATTAAATGAACTCGATTTCAATCAAACATTAAAATAGTATGCATATAATCAGTTATGGTTACGCCAATGCTGCTTCGCCAAGAACATGGGGAATTATTAAAATTCAGATGCCTCCCGATACGAAGCAAGACCGAGGACCGGTCTAGACATTTTTCGGGTTGAAAAACATCTCGACTTTCTTGGGCATAGTGTTTTACAGTTCTGTTCACAACATACGAATGCATACAAACAATGCTATCAATAAACTGATAAATTGCTTGAAGAAGAAAAAAATATGAGAGCACTCGAAAACATCCAAATACCTATTAAATTATTAAATTCCGTTGTCACTTATCACCACAGAACAGATAGGTAACATGGTAATCAGAACCGGAGGCATTTAAATTTCAATTGGTAGTGACACCTAGCGTTGGAGAGAACGCTTTTTACACTCAAAATTTATTTACACTTATACCACCTTTTACCATTTATACCAGCTTTACTGGTATATACAATTCAAACATACCCAAGATTCATATATTGAAAGGTGTGAACACTTCTTTTGGTGCTTATGTATAGAATGTCTGTAGGAAAGATGAGAACATCTTATTCATTTGTTAGATTATATACTTGTTTTGAATTCATCTCCATCTTCTTCTACTTCGCATTTAGATTTATTGCTTATCGCATATAAGCTTATTGCGTGCTCTAAGCTTAGTGTTCTAGATGCACTTCAACAGTTTTTTATTGAGAGCTTTCAATGCCGGTATTATTATACATTAGCATAATTGTATGGCAAGTACAATTATACCGAAGACATCATATCAAAAAGACTGGCAACTTTACCAGAATCCAGGAGAGTTACTGTAGCGCTGCGCTTATTCTGCCTTTATTGTTTATTAGCTCTATTACCAAAACATTCGCAACCCAAACAAACTGCCGTGGATAAAGCTGTTTTGCAGTATGGAGATTTTAGAAAAATTTGCAATTTCTCTTCAAACATTGCTTCTTGGTATGAGCATTTTTTTGTTTAGTTATAGTGACATTATCGAGGGGCGACACATCTGAATCTCAATCCTAGATGTTCGAAAAATCTAACGCTTTCAAATCACACTACGTAAAATATTTTACATTTCAAGCCTCTAAAGGTAAAATGCTAATTGTGGAGTTGTCTCTTTGATCACATCAAAGAAAAACTGTATTGATGATTTTTCTGCTAATTCTAGTCGATTTTCATAACTCCGTAAACTTTGATGTTCAAAAACACATTTAGAATAAAACATATTCAAAGTTTAACGATATAAAATAGGGGGAATGTCAGATTAAGCACTTCTTTACCTATTATCATCAGCGGGTATTTATTTGCATCATGTTCCAATGCATTGTTCTGCAAAAAATTAACACTCTAAGTCTATGCTCTAAGACTTCATTTACTCCCCTGGCGATAAAAGGGAAAGAACTGCCGAAGCCGACATTTCCCCTAATTAAAAAATTCCAAAGTTTCATTCGTCCTGAATTCTCAAAACTATATTCAATACACATGCAGATCGCTCTACCTGTAGGATTTGAAAATATCTTGGGTTGTCAGAGGATATGTCGAAGGAATGGCAGGGAAACTTTCTTTACTCCAATGGAATTTCTCATGGTCGTGTGCGTTTGTGTTAAAAAGCAAAACATCTTCCTTCTTTCACTTTTTATGCGTAAAAACCGTCGTCCAGAAAAAGCGAAATGACAATGCATTTCGTCGTAGAAAAAAATCGTTCCATTCACCACTGTTTACGATTTATGAGAGGGAAAGCGAATACGAGCTTATCAGATTCTGTCATGTAGCATATAGTAACTTGCCGTCTTTTTTGTTCTTTCAGTCCTTCTGGTAGCAGTTAGTCCCACCACACTCGACATAGGAATTGGCGTTGACGAGAGCTCTGTAACTCTTTACTCCTATCATGAAAAACAAATCAGTGGCGCCTTGTTGCCAGTTTTCCCAGACTTTTCGATTCCTTTCGTGTGTGATAATAATTTTTGCATTCCTTTGCTTAATGCCTTTGATTTTTTAATCGAAAAATTCAATGAGACAATTAAATAAATGTTATCATGTTACTTTTACATGTAACATTTGTATGCTCATCAGTAAATAGTGGCTTAAGCAGTTTTTAATCCAAGGTTAGTTGTGTACTAGGATTTAATATTTTTCTTTCAATCTGGCATTGCTGGTACTGGTATAATTGACAACAAGAATCGTACAGTACTATCCTAATATTTTGATCATGTGACTCAAATGAAAACTTTACCGTTTTGTTAAAGAACGTTAAATTATTTTTTTACTTAAGATTGCTAGTATTGAAAAGCCAAACGCAACGGATTATAACTATGTTATGCATGCACAGCTTATTTGACACATGATCTTTATTAGCATATTTGTATAGCTTTAGCTTATTAGTGGATTTTTTAATTTAAGGAATAAATATTAGTAGAAATTCATCAAAAAGTATTTTAAATTATATATTGCTCACAAGAGGGTGTCAATGCAGTCAGATTTAAGTTTTGTTTTAATAGTTTATATTTGTGGGCTATTTAACATGACATAAATTACATATAATACACGCAGTCGTAACCAGCAAATTTTTAAGCTTCCAACAGTCACACTGGTGCACTTGACGAACGTGCAAAAAAGAAGATAGTACCGTAAGTTGGGGGGTAAATTGGGCCAAAAACACACAATTTTAAGTTCCGTTCCTTATAAAATTCACATTTTAGCAAGGAAATTAGTTTTAAGCATGCGAATATATTCATCAATAATATATTTACGACTGTTGAAGAGATGATTGATTTAAATCAAAATCTCATTTTACTAAAAATCTATAAAAACTGGACCATTGAAGTGACTTTGGGCCAAAAAATACATGAGACCATAAATTTCAAAATAAGTAGATTCAATGTAACTATTAGGAGTACATTTGGAAATGATCATAATGTCAATCATATACATGAATAAGGATCACGTTTAATCCATGTCTATCCACATAAAAGTGTGTTAAAATATGTAATTACCAATGGACAATTTTAAACAACGCTTTTTTTAAGGTATTTATGGCACTTAACTTTTGAACACTATTTAAACAAAACAACATGATAATGTTATATACGCTTTACCACAGGAGTGCAAGCAACATAATTTAGTCATCATTTCCTAACATTCCAGATATTTTCAAAACTAAACATGTTTAATTTTTGGCCCAATGTCACCCCCACTTACGGTATATGATAAAATCACGTATTACGGCAGGATGGATTATCTTACCTTTTTTGTGTTAAGATAAAAAATGTAGCTTATTGAAAATTTGAATATAAGACATTATTTTTACAATACTGGCAAAATTGCAAAGCAAGTGATGAATGTAAAAATCCGTTGTCAGCAAAGTTTCTAAAAAATTCTGAGACTCCTCTTTGGCACAAACCTGCAGACAGATCTTTTGAACCATATCATTTTGATCGCGCACTTTAAACTTTTACGTTGCGTTTTCGTTGTTAATTGAATTGAACAAAAGATACACCAATTGCTTGACCATGAATGGTTAAATGGCGGAGGCATCGAACCTTATAATTATAATGCAGAGTCATAACAGCAGGTAGCTTAGTTATACATACATACATAGTTGCTACACAAACACATTTGCAATCACCATATTTAAAAACGAGACATTTCACCAACATCCCATCAAATATGTTTATAATTGGTTCAAACAAATTGTGATACTAATAGTGATTTTATGCAAAGCAATGTAATACCCTATTCACGTATTCATACAAATCCGCTAGAATTACGTCAAAAATGATTGTTTTTGCCAAGCATTGAAATTAAAAAGAAAATTTAATTTTTGCATGTTCAAACAATTAGGAGCGTACTGTAGGCAAAATGTTTTAACGGTAATTATACCAATTTATACAAGATTTAAAATCATCATGTGCACTGCGAAATGAAAATAGAAAAGAATAGCAAAATTTACATGAAAAGCATGAACTCAGTTTCAGATGAAACCGTTTGCTCTGAGTTACCTATCTGTTCTGTGCTTATCACTATGACTGTTAACAAAGTGAATAGGATTAGTTTAAAGCATTTCATAACAAAATCAACGATTAATATAGACAAAGTAACGTCCCTAGGTTCAATGTCGTGTTGAATAATGTTTATGAAAGATGCTATTATCTAATGGCAGCACCGACAAAATGTTGAAACAAAAAAAATTGCTTATTCAGTCATACTACGAAAACCTCCCGTCCAAACTTCCACTGAATGCCACTAACAACAGCGCTTGCACCAACATCCGGATCCGACTTCAGCTTTCAACCTTGCAGCGACGCATTTTGCAAAGACAACAGTTGCATATTTTACCTATCACTTGAACATTCACAAGCATCGTCCATGTGGCCGAGTGCCGAATGGAACGCGACTTGTTTATTTTCCCAAGGTCCTTCTGCCATCCAATAGATAAATCCAGTAGCCGTTCACACGAATCCTTTCACCAGCATCTTTATTCTTCCACACTGTCCGACAGTTATATTTAGTTCAACTGTGCGCGCGAATTGCTTTTCTCTCTCTCCATTCCTCAACGATTGCACACCGTCGAAAATTGCACTTGCTTCGAAAGCTGGTTTCCAGTGCAGCCAGCAACCCAGGAAGCTGGACTGAACTTGGCATTGACCAAAAGCCGAAAGATTTTTTTGTTTTTTAAAATTGCTCACCTTTTGTTTATTCGGAATATTTTTCTTTAGGGAATTTAGCACAAACGACCCTTTCACAATGCTCACGGGCGACGACGGCAAAGACAGCGACTCAAACGCAATTCAAGACGCGAACCTTCCGAACGACGAGAACAAACTGAACGTTCCGATTAGATACGCGAATTTCCTTGCTCTGCGCACCGGAGTTTTCCTTTCGGCACTTGTCGCGCTCTTGGCAGTGTAGTGGTATATAATTGAGAGATCTCCTCCGCGGGGGTTGGACCAACTACATAAAATGTCACTCGAGTGGCTGGTGGCTGGTGGCTGGGCCTGAGACTATTCGGTTCGTCAGCACAAAACGCGTACGAGATTCCTGGTGTCGTTTTCGCAAATGAAATCGAAAATAAGTTGTGAGAATTTCAAAAAAGCAACTGAATGTTGTAACCTTAAAACATAAGTTTATATACAACGGCAAGGGCAGGAGCAAGAGCTGGACCGAGCACCATATGCAACTACCGGAGCCAGAGAGACAGAGAGGCAGAGCGCACGAGCTACTGAGGCACGCGCCAGTCGGATACTTTTCGACTACACGGCGATGACAACGGCGACGATGACGACCGGTTACATGCGATTTATGGAGATAGACATCCGTTCACATGGTGAAATAGTTTAAAAGGATCTGGTTGAACTTTGTTTTGCTCCATATGGAAAATTGAGATACTTGCACTTGTTTGCGGACCGGTTTAGATTAAGTTCTTAGAATTCGACGCAATCTTAGCCTTCAAATATTGATGCGCCAATACTATGGAAACTAATTAATTAGTGGTGCCGGTGGTGTAGTGGTAAGCGTGATTACCTCTCACCCCAGCAGGCCTGGGCTCAATCCTAGTCGGTGCCTTTAATCTATCCTATTGAAGTTTGTTTGGGGATATGGTGGGCGTTGGCCAAATTTGGATTTTTTAGATATAATCCTAAATAGGACCTAGATTATTTAATACTCTAGTAACCTCAAGTCCATGCTCTGTCACAATGTTTCATTGTGATTAATCAACACTCAAAGGGGTAAAATATCAAATTTGGGGTGAATTTGAAAGAAAGAGAACTTGGAGTGTAGAGCGCACTGCCCACTGGACGATTCTGAAGCCTGGCCAAGTGAGTGGGGTATGAGTTTATTTGATTGAACGTCATTTCCAATGTATATATTGATACATTCAAACCATTGGCATTTGAGATAAGACAGAGATAGGATGCGGAGGGCCCGCTTAGGGGAAGCGTAACCCATGTTATGGTTTCCATTTATTAAATAGTTCAGATAGGCTGGAAATGACATGTTCATAGTGAGAAAATGTACCATATGGGGCCCGTTCACTGATCAAAATCAGATTCACATCGTCAGACCCTGCCCAAGAATAAGGGGATTGACGATGACTTGTCAAGTTTTATTTTGAATTTGCGTTTTGCATTTAATACTCTAGTAAATCTCGCGTCCGTGCTCATTCACAACAGTGTGAGGTGTCAATACTCACTGGGTCATATGTCTTAGACCAGTTCCAGATTAGTTTGCTATTAATATCTTCTGCATCGCAGTTCGCGATAGATTCCTAAATATGGGTTCTCTTTTCCGACCATAATAGTGTGAGGGAAGGGGGTGAGTTCTGGATCAACAATGGAGGGGGGGCCATCGGCATTTGTGGGCAGACCGTCCAAAGCCCATTCCTCACAGATCGGGGGCTGCTCACGCAGGCCAACACCATCTTCGTGTAGGTGGAAGTTTCCCCTATCCGATGATGGTGTTGGTTTGCGTGGGTGGCCTTCGCTTTGTGAGTGGGGGGCTTTGGAGCGGTTTGTTTACAAATGCTGATGGGCCCTTTTCTATTGTTGATCCAGAGTTAAACGTTGCGATATGAGAGCGAATAGAGGCAAATAAATAGGGAAGACAACACCATGACCCAAATAAGTAACCAATGCATGCGGCTCACACTTAACTTGTTCTATTTTTTCTTTCTTCCTATCATGTACTAATATTAACTGCCTGAGGACAAATGGGAACACGACCAGAAGATCAATAGGAGAAAAAGAAAATTCGAACAAGAAAAGAAGAATTAAACTTGCACCGGCAAGAGGAAGCAGACAGAAAGGATCATGCCGGTTGGAGACAGCCAATGTATACTGGACGAAGCTTGTGTCTAGGAAAAGTCGAATGTGCAGGAAACCGTAAGTAGGATAAGAATCGTAAAAGGTGTGTGCTTGCTTGATAAGATTCTAACTTAACTTTAAATACACGGTAGGAATCGAATATCCATTTATGATTAAGGTTTTGCCCATTTTTCAGTGGGAGTGGCAATACTCATCGATGAGTGATTTATCGTACCCATTTATTAGTAACTGTTAGCAGCTAATGATTAATTGATTTACCTATTTTAGAATTACCTATACTTCACATCAGAACCTCATTTCCTTCAATTACTACTCCGTCGCAGCACACACCTTATATGGATCGCCAACCTTTATTTAGTTTCAGCATTTTCGACATTATAATCAAAAGGTGAGTTTTAAAAGTATAATTACCATGCATATAGATAAGTTAATGTACCAGAACCTGGACGGACACGAGCCTACCCAGGGGAGGACCCGGATACGACCACCCATGTGTGTCTAGAGTATCGCACGAGCTGACGAGTGCAACGGGAAGGACAGTAGGTGTATAGACTAGGGGGTTGGTCCCTAGATAAGCCTTCTTAGCGGAAGGCACAGCCTATGCACTGAACAATTACAATTACAATTACATGTAGGTATATAATTAAAAGTTTATGTACGCACTTGCAAGGTGCGTGAAAGAGCTTGGCACGATTGGTGTTGATGTTGGTTCACTTGCAACTATTTTTGCAAAAAAAAAATAGTTTTTTCGAAAGAAATTGATATTGAGAGTGTAACAAAAGTGCTTCTGAACGTGTTTCGCAGTTGGGTGGTGAAATTCGCGGTTGTTTTCAGTGAAAATTCCGTATCACAAATTTTCTCACCGAGTTCCCTTTTTTTTGCCGTTCGACGACATCGGGAATGCGCTCCGGGATATATTGATTTGGTTAGTACGTTCCAGTTGAGGATTGTTCTTGTACATTTCTCGATTGCATTTTCGAAGGGACGTGTCTGCTCTTGTGGGCAGTGCGTTTGATGGTCGGTTTGGTAGTATCCTTTTAAATATAATGTCTCATGTCCAAAGAAACTCGATTTTCGGTCTATTGATTCAATACTTTAGTATTATATTTTCAAAACATACAATGATGCATTATGTCATTTCATGGCACATAAAGCAAAAAGTGTGTGTATAGGACCCAATAATCTAGGTTATTTGTATTTTGTAAAACATCTTTATTTTTTATTATATTTTTCATTTTACTACATATTTTATATTCATTATATATTACATGATTATATATAAATTCATAATGTAAATTCCAATAAATACTGGGAGGGGAGGGAGCATCAGGGCATCATTGAAGTTGTAACTGGACAATGGAGTGGAGTGCCAACCGGAGTCTAGGAGGGAATGTGTACTTTCATTTTAGATAGTTACATTTCACTCCAACAGTTGCAATGAATTTGACGCGCTCTTCTTTAACAAACCATCCCGTGGAAAGCTTAACATGTATTGCGAATTTCGTTATTCATTTTGTTGGATCATATTTTTGGAAGGAGATTCTCTTATTCCCGCGGGTTTCGCGTAAGTGCCTCTGCTTATGGGCCCGTCCAACCCTTTTTGGCCCTTCATACAGCAGTATGTTGAATTCAGAATGATGACGGAATTTGATCTTGCTGTTGAGTGGAGCCGCATGCAGGGCAAGACCCAAGCTAGGATGGTGGCTACTTACATACATACATACCTATTGAAGTTTGTTTGGGGACTACTATGAAAAGTTTTTAAATTTCACACATAATAATTGCTCGATCCATCCCGATTTTTTTTATTTGTTTTCCGATTTTTTTGATGTGTCTTAGGCATGCTTGGCATGCACAGTTGTACACACCAACTGCTCATTTGTTAATAACTTTTCACTCAGTTGTTGAAATTAATTTTTCTTTAAAGTAATTTAAAAGATTAGGATCATAGTTTAAATGGTGCCCACATCAAATTGCATCACGGAAAAAACGCTGTAGAAAATTACCCATCCGGTATTTTGTCTTGAAAATTTGGGTATAAGTAGTTATGAGTGTATTGCTTACACTGTATTTTTATCGCTGTCAGTTTTTCAAAAGTAGGAAAAAAAGGCGTCACCCGAAAAGTAACGTCGCGAATTGATTTTGCACAACCACCTTGAAAATCCTCAACTCTCTCATCGGGACATCGGAAAACAACTCGGAATCGTGCAGTCAACGGTGAGTCGTGTGATTAAACGTTACTACGGAACTCTGAGCATCGAACGGAAGGAGAAATGCGGTCAAAATGGATGTTCTATTAGTGATCAGGATCACAAGCGTGTCGTGAAAGCGTTTAAGCAAAATCTAAGCATTGAGATGGGTCTAGGATGTGACCAAAAAGTTGAATCTGTCCTAGTCCTTCGTTAAGAGAGCCATGGACCGGGAGAGACTGCATACGTACAAAGTGCAGAAGGCTCCAAATCGTGACGAATGGCAAAATACGGTGGGAAAGTCGTGAGCCCGGAAACTGTACACCCAGATGCTGACGAAGCCACATTGTCTCATCATCATGGAATTGACTTACGTCGAGGTGGACTTCCGGCAGCTTCCGAAGCTACTGTTTATCACCGCCCAGCACAAGTTTGAAGCAACACGAGGGCCATACGATCTTCTAGCCAGATCTAGCTTCGTGTCACTATTAAAATGTTGTCCTGGAGTGGTCGAAGCCAACAGGGTCACTTTCGTACCCAAGGATATGAACCCCCCCCCCCCCCCCCCCCCCCAACGCACCGGAACTAAGGCCCATCGAAAAATACTGGACTATTATGAAGCAGGCACAACGAAAGCATCCCAAGGAGGTCAAATCTGAGGAAAACATGAAGAAAAAGTGGGCTTTCGTACAGAAGAAGCTGCAACCAGATGTTTTACAGAAACTAATGCGTGGAGTTTTGCGTAAGGTGCAAGCGTACGGTTATGCTATTGAAGTTTTTTTTTTTTTTCCTTTGCTTTGTTTTTTTCCGTCGATCTTGTTTTCCGTGCTGAGCACCAATGCTACCGACGTGCCAGGAAGGCAGCTCCCACACCTGGACCCTACCTATCGACCCATTAACTCATGAACCTGCGACAAACGGCTTTACTTCCCATCTGAAGGAAGGCGTGA